GAGGGTAGACCTGACCCTTAACTAAAAATGTGTGTGTTGTGTGGAAGATAGACCTCAACCTTAACTAAAAATGTGTGCTTTGGGGAGGGTAGTTAACTAGTGGTTACTGACCACTCTACCCTGCCCAATGATACCTAGTTACTGTCCAATGAGGTTTCCATTGAAATGAGTCATTTTTCTTCTATTTTTTGATAGACATTTAAAAACCAACCACGAATTATTTTTATCGTTTGATGTCATTTTTGAAGTTTGATGGAAAACCTGTCCCGGATTAGTTTTGAATTCAGCAGTGATCGATACTAACAGAAGAGAGCGGGGCAGCATTCAAAAGCCAGGACAGGTTTTCCATTGTAATGCAAACCATACATCAAACATCAGCCCCGCTTACCATAAACCACGAAACGAAACGAAACGAAACGAAACAATAAAATGCGAAACGAGGATTTCGCATTTTACAGATCTTTAAAATGCGAAACCGTCATTTCGCATTTTACAGATGTCGTAAAATGCAAAACGACAGACTGTAACCTGAGGCTTTGTTACTCACGAAGTTGGATGAAAACTGTGTAGCTCCATGTTTTAGAAAATTAGAGATTACTTTGAWTCTCAGTGGGAAGAACAGTGTAAACTTTCCATGTACCAAAAGCCACAAATTCATAAACTATATTGAAATACTTCAACTCGTGTTATTGTGGCGGATTGTGGCGCCATTTTGAATGCACAGGGACCCCAATCGAATCATAATATATGACAGCACAAAGGAAGCCCACAAAGAGAAAAGCGAGAAAAGGATTCAATTTATTTCTAGTTTTTTCTCAGAAAAGCATGCAGCACAAACTATGCATAACTAACATAAACATGTGGTTAAGTCAAAATTGATATTCAAAGTGATATTCATGCTAATGACATTTTTCTAGTACAGCCGTTATTCAGCACCAGACGCACCAGACTGTTATAACTCGACGGCAAAACATAAGGAAAACGCTTCAAATAATTTTAAACGCCATACTTCTCTAACCTCTTTGAAAGAAGTTCAAAAGTAAAACCTTTGGCGCTAAAGTTTTTCTCTGATGTCAACTGATGTCATATGTTATGATTCGATTGGGGTCCCTGTGCATTCAAAATGGCGCCACAACAACAGGAGTTGAAGTATTTCAATATAGTTTATTAATTTGTGGCTTTTGGTACATGGAACGTTTACACTGTTCTTCCCACTGAGATTCAAAGTAATCTCTAATTTTCCAAGACATGGAGCTACACAGTTTTCATCCAATTTCGTGAGTAAGCTTACAGTTAACATGGAATCGCAAGGCCTCAGGTTACAGTCTGTCGTTTCGCATTTTACACATCTGTAAAATGCGTAATCACGGTTTCGCAATTTAAAGATCTGTAAAATGCGAAATCCTCCTTTCGCATTTTATTGTTTCGTTTCGTTTCGTTTCGTGGTTTATGGTAATCCCATCAGCCCTCATTCTTGAATTTCAATGGAAACCCTCTCCCTAGGGTTTTAACCTTGATACAGCATGAAGGGAGAAACATCAGCAAGGCATATACCATCTATTTTTTATGTTTTATCTTATTATTTATATCTTATAAGTTTATATATTAGATGGTAAATCTGTTGCCTTATCAAACTCAGCTGAGAACTGTCCCAAAATATGTAGATCAAATTCATCTTTTCCAGTCTGAACGACTTATTTAAAAGAAATCTATTTAATTTAACTGATGACATAGAAATTGCATCTTCTTTTCACATCTTAACTTGAATCCCAATCCCCACTGGGGGAAGGGAGAAGGTTTGAAGTTTCCACTGAGCAAATACAACATCATGCATACCTGTGGCACCTAATGTTAGCTGAGATTGTGGCTGTTCTTGTGTCTCCATCATATCTCCCAACACACTGCTGTATTTCTGTCTTTCATTTGAAAGAAGATACCTTAACCAACAAAGGTATTTGAAATTGGCTGAGCTACGCACGCCGTGTTCCAAAAAAATTGAACTTTCGTGTCGAATCAGAACATTTGAGCCGCCATCTTGGATGTGGAGCCAGTGATGGATGACTGGGAGCTAAAAATAGAATAAAAAATAAAATGAAAATGAAAAAGTCTTCCTTGTGAAAAAATAAATACGTGTTTGAATAATAATCGAAAGATGCGCATTAAACTAAATCGATAAACATACCCGCCTCACTTGTCAGACAAAAACCAAATGATCGTAAAAACCTAACCGGAATTTGATATCAAGATTGGGATCCCTGTGTCGTTATTACCACATATGCAACTCAGCACATTTCGAAGATGAATTTGTGAATTTTTCTAAGCGCAAGTTTTCCTTCAAATCTCTTCGATTTTTAACCTTGAACGTGGTTAGATCTACTGTAATCTTGTCTTAGTACAATCTTTCTGATAGGTATAGTGATGTTCAAGTGGAATCAGACGATCGATATGTGACTACAATGTGCTACATCGAATAACGAAGGCGGAAGTGTACATGTCGTAAAAGACCAAGACATATGATAAAAAACACTTCTATCACGACGGTAAGACTATAAATGAACGAAAATATCGTGAAAAGAAAGGGGATTAACTGGTATTAGACGGATTTATCATAAGTTTTACCGCTGAATAGTCTCTTTCACAGTTCCCTGCGCCATCTTTGAAAGCGAAGCGAGACGAACGGTGAGCTTTGCATTGATAGAGACCTTTTTTTAACACCTTGGACAATTATTCACATGTCTCTATCATTGTCTCGCTTCGATGCAAAGACACGGCTACCTTTCATACCCTCATCGAAAAATCGAAAGAGAATGTCTTATTTAGTAACTACTGAAAATTTGAGATATTTTGGGAGTAAAATTTTTTTGAAAGCGGTATGATTTGTTTAACTAATAGATCAGGCTTAGCAATGTTGTGTTTTCTGATAAAACACGATTGGAGCTGTAGGACACGAAAGAAGTTATACAGCTTCTACAGCTTCAGGATATTCTGATGGGTATTCTCTAAAGGGGGATGTTAGAAACATAGAATCGAAGCTCCTCTGTCTTTGATTACTTGAATATTCATTCTGATTGGCCACACCATATTTACTCAATTACGTCACAAGCTATGCCACGTGTAATACCGACAGGAAATGTTAGCTTCGTTCCCAGTTTTAGTCATTAGTTAGTCAGATCGTCCACGATAGAGTCGTATATTTGGAAGCTGTTTGAAGAAGTAGTTAAAGTTACCCCCTGGCCCTTTAGAGTGCAAGCGGGAACAGATGTGTAAGTACAGTAATTAGCTTTACACCTCGTCTAAGCCTTAGCCTCGTGCATAATAGCCTTTTAGTTACTTTATAAGACCCGTCTGTGGTTTAGATTATGTTTAGTCAAGCACACGGCAACGTCCTGAGATTTCTATTGCTTAAGCATTCAATTTACAAAGCTTAGCCTATATCTATATTTATACATTTAAATCTATACCTTTATGCCTGAAGCCTTTATTGATCTTATTATCGCTAGTATATTTTCACGTCGCTTGCAGTGGCACACCCTAAGGCATAACCAAAATCGCATCATTTATATTAGTACTAAAACTATAGTACTAAAACTGTGATCGGAATGTATGTTATTCTTTATGCGTGATTCTATTATCTCGTACAACATGAGTATAAAAAGCAAATGCTGAACTTCGCTTAGTCGAATGTTGATCGCTCATGTTGAAAGTTGACTTTTTACAAAATCAAAGTTGATCTGTGAAGTTGAAAGTTGATCGCTCATGTTGAAAGTTGATCTGTGAAGCTGGATGTTGATCTGTGAAGTTGGATGTTGAATTGTAAAGTTGAATGTTGAATCGTCAAGTTCGATTTTTGGCGGGGATGGAACGCCATAAGGGCCTACAATTCACTTTTAGTTCCCGACGTTTTTAATCTACGATCTCTTAGAAAATCTTTTAGGAGTGGAACTTTCCAACGCATTATGTCATTAAGCTTCGATATCAAGCTTTCATCGAGAGACATACTTTTTTCCTGTTTGTGAATAAAAAAATCTGGCGCGAATCTTCATCTGTCACATGTAACTGATTTTTTTACGTTCGTGTCTAGTACCACGAGAAGCCTGAATCGAATATTATACCCATCGATATATCGCAATAAACACTTCTTCAAGTATTCGAAATGAATAAATTGACCCCCAGATTGAACTCGAGAAGTAATGTACTATATATTTTATTTTAAATTTTTTATTAAATCGCTGTAAAATGCTTATAACTTCAAGTGTTTTTCATAAGAAAAATTCAGTAAATGTAAAGCGAAAATCAACTTCCAGTCGAGTTTAATCACGATTCGGTCACAGGACTCCCGGTCATCCTTAAGAGCGACTGTCTGTAAGGATCGACCAAAATCGAATTTTCATGGCACAAGTCAAAAAATCGATTTCGCTCATATTTGGTTTTTAGATAGCCCTTAGTGTAAAATAAATCGAGGTGTTGTTAGTTTTGAAAAAAAAAAATTTTTCCCCACGAAATTTACGAAAATAGATTTCGCCCAAATGCAGGGGGGAAATGACCGACGAGGTCAAGGAATTTAGTACAAAAATAAGCGCATCCTACAGCTAAACTACTTAACAATTTTTTCGGTTGGTACTTTTTACCGAAGGAATAGGTATTCCTCTTACTTTTCGTTGTATTTATTCTAGAATATTTGGCGATTTAAGATTCGAAATAATTTT